AGGTCACTCAAAATTAGTGGCAATGTCTGGGCATTTAGCTCAATGGTTTCACTGTCTTCTGCGCAAGCGCAAGGACCCGAGTTTGATCCCTGGTACCAAAAAAAAAAAAAAAAAAAAAAAGAAATTAACTGGCATTGGTGTGGCAATTTTAGGATTACTGTTTTTCTTTGGTATTGGAATTATAATTCCTCTCACGCAGGGAATAATGTGCTGGAACCTGCTCTCCCTGGCCCATGGAAGCTGAATGTATGCGTCTCTCCTCAACTCTATTTTGGTCTCTAGAAATCGGCTGTGGTGGGAGTATTTATACCACAGATACCAATCAGCAGGACAGATCAGAGCCCCTGCCCCTTCACTGTACCCAGGATAAGTGAATCATTGAGGACTGCTAGCTGCTTTCTTACAAATCTCTTCCCCATCTTGACTTTACTTTTCTCTTAACAATATTCCTTCCAGGCATTTTAGCCAAAAGAAATTTTTATTGACACAGAAAACAGAAACAACACAACTTGAAAAAACAAAACAAAACTGACTTCTCTGTAGCCCACAAGTTACTGGATTGAGACAGGAAGTTTGTTTCTTCCTTGTTTTTTCTTGCTTTGAACACAGCTACATAAAACTTTTTAGGTTGGTCTTAGTATTTCTGGAAAGCCATAAGTCACTGGGAGAACTTAACTGTACTAACTGTACTTTTAGTAGTCTCTGTCACTCTCCTATATAGTTTTTCTGATTTGCCTTTGCTAAGTCTTTTGCCTATGTCTTCTGAACTGGTTCTTTGGCTAACTCACCATTTTCCCACATTGTGATCCTTTGCTGTTGCCTTGCAGGATGCCAATTCTAATAACAAATTTGAGAAGTTTAAGAGACTCCCTAAGTTAGGACTGACAATCAGAGATTTTTACTCAATGCACTTAACTTACTAGGATATCATATTTGCTTTACCATTTGGTAAAAGAACACGTGACAAATTTGAAGCCACCTCATTAGTAATTTGAACTTTGTTCACTGACAATAAACCTGGTTCCCACCATAGTAGACTGAATCCAATGAAACTAAAGCCCTCTCACTCACTTACCTCCGAGATGTGCAGCAGTCATTGATGGTCATGGATAATTAGGTGCACTGGATAGCAATCAATGGAGGTAGCTCAGACCTGATCCTACGTTACTAGCTTCTCTTTGAAAGAAACGGCATCACTCGCCATTCTGTCCTCAGGCTGTGCCAAGGTAAGTGTCCTGGATAGGTTCCTAACCAGTATAAAAACCTTTCTGTTCCCAGCAATTCTACTTATATTCTCTTCAGTCTCCTGCCTATTTTGGAAAAAGTGATCTTCTTTTTATTTTTTATTGGTACCGGGGATCAAACTCGGGACCTTGTGCTTGTGAGACAAGCAATGGAACCACTGAAGCTAAATCCCCAGCCCAACAGTGATCCTCTTTAAAATACTGCCTTGGGTGCACCCTTCTATAGAAGACACAAGGACAAAGATTTCACTGCAAAGAGTTTTTTGAGAGATGAATTCAGGAAATAATGGTAAGGAAGACAGGAGATAAAGGAAACCAGTAAGTAAGGTGTAGGTTTCTGAGCAGGCTATGGATTTGATTAACTATGCCTCACTTGGGACTTTTTGAAGACTGAACAAAATTGTACTATTCAATATGATAGCCACTGGTCACATGTAGCTTGAATTAAAATTTTAAAATTAAACAAAAGTAAAAGCCAGTTCTTACACCACAGTTACAGTATGTAGTGTTCAACAGCAGCTTGTGCCAAATGGCTACCATTTTGACAGTTGCAAAATGTTCCACTGTATAGCTCAGGTGTAGAACACCCCCTTGGAGTTGCCCATCCGGGAGCAAAAAAACCTGGAGAATTTATACATTAATCTCACCTGTCAGTGGTCAGTGACTGCTCTCCTCATTTGTTATCACATATCTCATTCTCTCTATACAGATACAAGAACATACAGGATAGGGATGGACAAAATAGTGTCTGCAGGAAATATAAATCAGTTGTGCCACTCCCTGTTTGCAAAACCCTTTTAATGGATCCCTACTACACTCCCAATGGAACCTAAACTCTTTATCATGGCCTACATGACCTCGTGATCTCATGATCTGACTTCAAGATTACTTCCCCAATCTTCTGCCTCTTGGCTCTCCATTACTCTGTTTTGGTATCAAACCGAGAGGCTTTCCCTAGGTTTTGCAAACCCATCCAGTTCTTCCTTGATGAGGGCCTTGGCACATACTGCTCTGTCTCCCTGTTACAACCCCACCTCCTCACCCTCTACACACTGCCACCCTAGGTCTCTGCATGGCCACTCCCTGCTGTCCTCTAATTCTCAAACTCAATGTTCTCTGAACGCAAGACCTAAAGTTAGTGTTTTCCTACTATTATGTACTTTCTTGGCTCCTTTTGAAATGCTTATATCATGACTTGTGATCATTTATTCATTTCTATTTCCATCTATTACCTCTAGAACTGCTTCTGACACACAGTGAGTACTGAACAGATATTTTTTTCTTGGATGAATAAGTGAATGAATGAATGAATGAATGGAGGCAATATTTACCAATAAGATGGGGGTAAGATAGGACATGAAAGGTTATACTTCTGTAGAAATATAAGGAGGACATGTGAATGTTCTTGGCCAATTAGCCTAAATGACTAGCATCTGCTAGTCACTCACACATAAGTAGAGTGACCATGACATTGTGTGTAGCTGCTGATAATCATCTTACACACCAGATGCCTCAGGTCATTAGTAATTCATGTCTGGAAAAACTGGATACCAGAAGGGTGAGTTCTCCAACATGCAACTGCCTGCCCATGTCAGTAGCACTCAAGTGTGTGTTATACTGGTTTTTTTTCCCCCAGTGGTTTAAAAACACTGGTAATGGTGCTAACAGATGGAGAACTGTACAAACTCATCAAAGATCTTAGACTTCAGGCATTCGTGAAATAAGATTTTGGCTGTTTATCCAAATGTGTTTGCCTTGATAGGATAGAACTGACACAGGGAGTTTCTAGGTGACGCCGTAGTCACAGCAATCTGAGAATAATAATAAAGACTGTTATTTATGGCTTTATATTTCTAAAACAGTTACACTATTTCTTCAGTCCTCCCATAACCATTATACTTTGTATAATGATCTCTATTTTCAGACATGAATGCTGAAAGATTGCAAGCTTTTCTAACAAGTCAAAGTTAAAAGCAAAGACACAGGGACTTGACCATTTAGGGGAATTCTTTGGCTTACAGTTCTTGGACTCTTTTAGGGTATATGCAGTGTCTTTTGAGCCTCAGATAGGAAAGGGAGAGTACTGGTGGTCTGCAACTTCCAGGATCTCTACCCTCACCATGGTATGCTTAGGCATCACAGGTAGCCCTGCTTAACTAACTTGTGTGGCATGGCTAGCTCCTATAGAAATATATGCCTTTTATGACATGTTTTAGAACTTCACCTGAACGAGTTATAATTTAAAATTTTATTCACAGTTTACTAATAGCAAGAAGCCACTTTCAACACATACTGCATGGCCACATATTCATATGCCTTGATGTAATTGTTTAGAAACAGTGTCTCATGAAGCATCTGGAGGACCTTGTGCTTTCGAGGCAGGCACTGGAACCACTGAACTAAATCCCTAGCTCTGAGGTTTTCTTTAAGATATGAACATGAGTCTCTTCTTGAGTTATAGCTTTTCTAAGTAGGTGGGAATTGGTGTTGGAAAACTATCACTGGGTCTATGAATATGGTCAATTGACTGGCATCCTGGTTTTTGGGATTGGTGATTGGTTATTCTATTTAAATAATGAAGCAAGGTATTCAAATAAACATGCAGAAATTTAATATTTCAAAAAAAGAGTGGGTTACCTAAATAAATAAGTAAGTAAGTAAATAAATAAATAAATAAGGGCCAGTATGGACTATAATGTGAGCATGTTCATGACATGCACTGGAATATCTCTGAGCTTGTAAAAAAGGGGAAATCTCTGGCCTACTGAACCTAAATTATCTAATAGGGAATTTATTGTAGTGGTGTGTGTGTGTAATTTACCCTGAAGTATGAGCTTGATTCTGTTTGATCGCTTTTATGTTACTCCCATGAATCCCAAGAAATTAGATTCTATCACTGTTGCCACTTGTCTCAACTTCCCATATTCCTTAGTGGTGACTTTTATCATTTTTTTGGATTTTTAAAATAAATTGAGATGGCTTGAGTCCTACAATTTACTAAACACCAACTTGGTTCTGAGGAGCAAACCTTATTAGCTTTGGAAATGGGACTGTTAAGCTTAATTAAAAATGAAAGCCTTACTGAGACATGATATTTAACCTTCCAGGAAGGAATGCATAGCCTATTCAAGTGAGGAATGTGGTAGATCTCCTCATATAAACAATTTTATTCTCTCCAAAAGTTTTTGTACCAGTGCCAATGGCAAGGTGACACTACATATTGTGCTATGAAATCACTACATTGTGAAAGTTACACTGCATTCTATGGTGAAAAGATGTTGAATTGTGTATTGATGAAATAATTTTTCAACACTAAATAATATAATAAAGATCCAAGTAGTAAACTTCTTAGTGTGCTTTTAAAATCCATTAAGAGAAAATCTATTCTCCCCCAAAGTCAACAAATTTACTTTACTCTACTTAAAATTCTCTACCTTAAAAAATGAACCGTATTTCCCTTTTTACCAGGAGATCTTTGGATAAAGCTCTTTGCATTTGCTCTAATTATGTTACAACATTATTCACTGTACTGCATCAATATTAGTCATACCAGACTGAGTTCTTTATTACCAGAAATAAGTAGTATAAATTTTTGCACTATAAATGTTCAGATTCAATAGGCAGATGGTAGCTACTGAATTCCTCAAACTACAGCAAGTTAAATTTAAACACAATTTGATGGTTCACACATTTGTGTAAAGGATTTGGATATATCCAAATTGAATTTAATGACATTTACAAATATTTGGACTGTCTTATTGGATGGTTGTTTCATTCTGCTGTGGGCTTTCTTCCCTTGTTTCTTTTTCTAGGTCTTTCAAGGGAGGTGATTGCATGAATTGATCAATGGGAAGTGAGCTCACAGATGTAGCCCTTTACATTATTTCTTTTATTGACTTACAGCTTCTGCTTACAGGACAGGAAAAGGTGTGAGTACCACATACTGTGAGTTATGTGCAGTGTCTGTATGTGTAAGGCCTTAGGAAAGAGAGCAGTCTTCTTCCTTCTCATGGGGTTTTCATTTGGGATTAATGCTTTTAAAAGATGACTCCAAGAAATATTAATCTCATAGTAAAGTCCATGTATTCAGAAAATTTTGGACAATAATAGGGCTTACAGCCCTTTAACTGGAAGTAGTTAATCTAATTTTAAGAATCTGAGGAAATTTTTTGTAAAAATCTAGATTTCTGGTTGTCTTAAAAAATTGAAGATATGACACTGCAATGACTGTATCCTCACCTGGAAATAAATTCTTGTAGTTTCTCATTACACTTAGCATGTACTTTTCATTAGCATCGTGACCCCCCATGTGCATAAATGCATAGACTCTGGGGGCTTTTTACTTGACCCTCTTATTGTAGTCTTTCTTAAAGATATAGTACATATATCTTTTGGTATATTAATTCTCCCAGCAAACATTTCTATTTTGTTTTGTTTAAAAATTTTACAAATCACATGTGATAGTAGAATTTTTCCCTGCACGTTTTGAGATATACTGTTTTAGACAACTCTTTGGGTTTATGATTTTAATTTTAATCCAAAGTTCACAGATGGAATTTGTAATATATTTCTTGATATATGGGTCTTGGCTGCAAATTCAGAAAATTTTGATTTTCTCATATGAATTTTATGCTACCTTCTTGGCACATATTTATGAAAGTAGAAGCCTAGATTTTACAATCAAGATTCTATTTCCATCTCTGGATGCTTTCAAAGGCCTTCAAAATACAGAATCAATTTTTCTGGTTAGGGTGTTTACACATTCAATCAGACTTCAGGTTATCTTAGGAGAGATGAAGGAGTCTCTCAATTTTACCTGAGGTTTAATATTTAAAAAGTCCAGACTTTGGGACCTCATTTTGCTGCTGATCTAATAAGAGGCCCTAGCAATGCACATACCAGAGAACAGGTTTTGGAGAAAAAGATATACTTGTAAGTGATATGATAAGTGATAGGAATGTAAAGTACCATTATAATTTCCCCTTGAAAACAAGAACTTAAGACATCGTCTTATAAGCATCAGCTGAGTAAGTAAAAAAAAAAAAGCAATGGATTATTTTTTTTTGGAGGGGTGAACCCCATATGTATCATCTCAATGAAACCTGTGGAAGCCCAATAATAGGATTGGACATTTAATTTTGCTGGCTGAGGACACTGAAGTTACGGTAATGAACTTACAGTTTTCAAAATATTAGGATTTGAAATAGCAGCTATGGTGGAAGCAAAGACCTTGTGCAAGAAGTTCTGGTTAAATGCAAGTTTCTGAACAGAGTCTTTCCTGGATTTGATTAAAGCAATTCAGAAAGAACAAATGGCAAATAAATAGGACAAGTAGGTTTAGAAAGAAGTTATTTACCACTTTAATAGGGCTGTCCAACATTTGGTCACATTGATCATTCTGAGACCTAATTGCTTTCATAGCCTTCCTATCTCACCAGAAGAGATCTGAATACTCTAGGAAAAAGCAAATCAAACATAGAAAGAGGTGCCATGGTAAGACTTGTTGCTACAGCACTATGTCATTAACGAAGCCAGACTTTGGATTTAATCAGAGGACATTTCTGCAGTCTAGGACAGCTATACAAAGCCCTAAGACATTGTATTTACAGGACTTATTAATATAGGATCTACATCCTACCATAACTCTGCCAGAGTCTTAATAGCATGGTGGAGCAGTTCCCTCAAGAATCCTCATTTTCTTATCTGTGGAAAAGCTAGTAGTTCTAAAAATATTTTCCTGGAAGAGGTTAGAATGGTTATTATATATCAATTGAATATAAAGTATGGGTATGTAAGCCAAGCTTGCATGCTAATATTGCACATGGTAGAAAACAAGAAAAGAGGATGATGTGCTTCCTTGGGCCATTTGGTAGAAACTAAAGGAAGCTCTGATTCAGTGTCTTGATGTCTCAGATTCCAGGAGTCCACCTGCAGCTGGCCTTCCAGTGTCCACACCATGTTGAATTCTCACAAGGTCACGTATCTTCCTCATCAAAGGAAAAAGAAACAATGAACAGAACAAAACTGACAAAACATCCAGAACTAAAAGGGCTACACCAGCCTTCTCACATTGTGGTATTGTTCATTTCTTGAAGAGAATATATAATATTTCAAAATATTATATGTACATATATTTCAAATGGTACAAAGGAACTGTAGATCCAAATTAGAAGATAGCCAATCATTCTTCATGATCCCAAAAGCTTCACTGAGAAAATGCTTTCGTAAACCACTTCCCACGGTGTCACCAAAAACTCTTGAGTCTTCTTGCTATGGGGATGTTTCGTTACACACAGTAATCGCACTGATTATCTGGTAACCAGTCAAAGTGCAAATAAGTATTCCATTTGGCTTGTCAATGTATAAGATGTTTTAAATTCTCAAAATGTACTTTCCACAGGTTGTTTTTTTTTCTTTGCTATATAACAAATGCTTCTGTTAGGTTCTTGGGTGAATCTGAAATCAAAGAAAGAAAGACATTTCAGGGATAAAAGTACAAAATGACACAAAAGGTGTAACTATGCAGAAAATGAAGATACCTTGAATTTTTAAGATGTTGCTTCTTTCAGATGATCTGAAGTCAAAAATCTTAAAGTTTAGAGTAGTAATTCTCAAGTGGTGATTGAGGTACATGAATAGGCCCTATATTTTCATCCATGCATTAAATTAATTTTTGCCAAAACTGAGGAGAAAGATTCTTAGAGCAACATCTATCTAGAACTGGCTTCATGGGCATGTATCCTATCTGTCTTAAAAAGGGTCTGTACTTGGTTCAATGCCCTGCCATTGCTGTCTTGAACTTATTAATAATTTTTAGTAAGTTATCTTCATTTTCATTTCATATTGCACTCTGTGAATTTTGTAGTCATTTCGTGTTCATATGATGAGAATTTGAAGTGAGTATGTCCTCATATGGCTTTATTTATTTAGACTATTGTAAGACTTTAAGAAATGGCAAAAATGTCACTTCTCAGGTTAGACCACATCTGTGTAGGACAAAGGATACTTTTGTAAGGTTAGAAGCAGTTCTGCTCAATGACACAGTACTAGTGTGATCAAGAGCATTGTAGAGTACTCTTTATTCACTGCAGTGTGGATCCAAAGACTCAATCATTCAGGTTGCATCATGGACCAAGCTGCTCATGGTTTAGAGCATAAATGGTGATTCAAGTGGAAGTATGGCCTCTACTCAAGAGTTCTAGGAAATACAGTGCTTTCTTTATTATCTCTTAATTCTTTTTAGAAATTGAGTGTTCTGAGTATAGAGATAGAAGCCCATTTAAAGTTTTTGGGGCTAAGCAGGAATTATAGTAAGAGTTGATGTTCAAAAGTTGTTTAGCCCAGGAACCGAGTGTATGAGCATCTCTGTACATTCAACTTTCTTATCTTTGCCTTAAAAATAATAGGTCCTTCCAAACCTTAGTTGACTACATTCCAGTGGTCATCACTTTTGGATTACACTGTCTTCTTTTTCACCAAATGGAGAAAGTGAAACTTACTAAACTGTATTGAAATTGTCTTTCTTTTATCTCTGTTCCATCAATTTCTGCCCACCCTAGGCCCTCTTCTGATTGAAAGACCAAGAGCTCCCTCATGTCCACTATCACATCCTCAGGATATTCATACACTGAATCTAGACAGTAGAGACTTGAACATATTTACTGATGAAAGAAATGAATGAGTTCACTTAGATCCAGGGGTAATTTTGGCAGTATAGACTGGTTTGTTTTTCTTTCTACAATTCTCTAAATCTATCAATATTTGCTGTGTTTTTAAATGTCTCTTCCTTATTTTTAAATTCTTTTTCTTTTTCAATAGCAATTGATACTATCTTTTTAGATCTCTCTTTCTTAGCATTTCAGGATCGCAAAGTTATAGGTGCATAGAACATTTGAGACCTTGTAGAATTTTGAGTGAAGAAGCTGGGATATGTCAAAGCTGGTATTTTGCCCTTTCAGCAACATTAAAAACATCAGGGTGATTAGAATAGGTTTGTGCCATCAGAGTCATCATCAGGGAGGAGAGACCTAGGAAAATATGGACAAATTGTGATAGATATGTGTTGGACAATTACATAAAACTGATTTGACCAGACAGCTATTCTGATTAACTGGCAATCTGACATCTGCTAACTCCACCTTTTAGGAAATGGAATTTGAGCTTACATTGTGCACTTATTGTTGATTTTCTCACTTGCCTGAGAAATGTTCGTGTCTCATCCCTGAAGCAAATCCAAAGATATTAGATAGCTTCCAAGGTATCATACCACAATATCAGAACACAATATGTTCTGCTATTTTAATCTGATAATTTTTCTTTTCAAGTGACTTTGACTTTTTTCATCTCATCCCCTTATTCTTGTTCCTAAATAGCTGATGTTCAATTTTTCAAAGGAATTATTGCATCATTGTCAAATAACTTATTTTCTCTGAACCTTGAGGAAGTCTTTCCAAATTTAGCTATTATTTCTGAGTATGCAAGGTACACATGTGCTCTTGAAGACATGGGATAGATCCTCCTCAGCTTTTCAAATTCTCTATTTGATATATTATTTTAAAGAAAAAAGCAAATTGGTATTGAAAAATATAGGGAAACATGAGTAGTCAGTACTGAGCTAGCCTTGCTACTCACTACCAACAAAATAATTGAATGGTCAAGCAGAGATGGGGTTTAAAATTCAGCCATGAATCTTCACCCAGAGAAACTTAGCTTCTCCCTAGGAAGGTGTATAATACTGGCTTTATTCTACTTTAGACTGGGTTTTGGAAATTTTTGCAAAAATGACCATTCCTTTCTCCAGGGTGGCATGGAGGAGTTTGCCTCTTCTTTTTAATGTTTATTCTTCAATATTTTCCTTTGCCTAATTCCTCTCTTTTCTTATTCTTTTTTCAGGTTACATTGTCATCTAGATCCAACATCTCCAACAGTTTCCTTTGATAGAGGCTTATTACCCAGGCCAGGCTACATTTCAGGGTATCTGACAGTTTAGATGAAAAACTGAATTTCTACTCTCCACCCTCCTTAAAAATGATATTTTAAGTTAGATCACACATTGAAGCATCTATTGTTTATCTACATTTGGAAGATTCCTGAGAATTTTTTCTTTGGATGATGTTTTTGAAAGTAATATACCAAATAGAAAGGTTTTGAAAAATCTTTTATTTTACAGGGAAAGAGAATGAAGTCCTAGGAAGCTTTCTGGCAATTATTTTTACCTTGGAGTTAGTTAAAAAAATAACAGTATGAAAGAAACTCTCAATTGTCATTTTAACAATCTGGGTGTGTTTATTCAGCCTTTTAATTTTTTCTTTCTCTGTTTTTTTCTGAGAGTACCCTTTTGAATCAGTCTTCCACATATGAACAAAAAGAGATGGTTTTCTTTGTTTTTTCTTTGTAGCACTTCAAGAACAGAACAATAAAAATATATGACTCAATAATTAAAGTACATCTGTGAACTAAACTATTCTTAAAGTTAAATTGCTAGAGTCAATATTTGAAGTGTGTAGGCATACATGTGTTTTGATAGGAAAGTATACATGGTAGAGCAAGAAAAACTAATATAAAGCCTACTCCCAAAGCCTATGATTTAAGAAATGGTGTTAGCCTGCCAACGGTATGAGTGGATGCCTCCTCTATGCATCATCTGGAATTAATTCATGCCTTTTATGTCTAATAGTCATTATATTGTAAACTTCTTGGGAAAATTGGGTGAAAAATATATGTCAGGACTAGTGTTTGAGTCCTCTCAAGGATTAAGAGTATGCTCTTTTCCTTCTCTTTTCCTTCTCTAACTTGAGAATTCTTAGGTGACAAATGCACTGGCTGTAGAGCTGTCTCTTATTTCCTCACTTGAAACAGATGCACATGTCATAATGGGTACATCCTCTGCTCACACTGACTCCACATAATTTATTCCTCTTGTACACTCAACTCCCTGGGTTGCACTCAGTCCACCCAGGGTAGTAGCCAACAACGCATCTACTCTCTATTGCTGTGATCAGATTCTGTACAACACTTATGTGATGCTGGAAAATGACTTGGGTGTGTTTATAACATGCCCAGTGGTTTTAAAATAGAATCTACAGAGGGCAAATAATAAAAAGCAACATAGGTCACAGAAAAGTAGCATGGAAAATTTCTGGATTTGTTCATTTTTGGGCTTGTTTTTGTTTCTTTATTTCTGAGTTTATGGTCTACCTTCTAAAGAGTCTTCTAGTTGGTACTCTTAGACTATCCCAGATTTAAATCTTGAAATAATTTAATGTACATTAATTTTCTTTAGTGAGTTTTAGATCTGGAGACACCTTCAGAAAAAGATGATCAGTTACTGATTGGAATAGGGAATGGAGATTTGATAGAGAACACATCACCAACATGTTTAAAACAATGGTGGTTGGGTTCCAAGTATATTGGCCATAATTATGAATAGCTTAATAAAATAAACTGATTTGTGAGGAAATCTTCAAATTATTTGGTAAAATCATTTTCAGGCAATAACCAAAGGAAATCTGATATCATTTACTAGCTAATTAAAATTGGTTTCTGTGGGTAAGTGGCACAAGCTAATTTCTGAGTTCTGACTTCTATAGATGTTTCACTGAAGTGAAATATAACAATCCACCCTGAGAGACTGAGGCACTTGCAGATATATACATGTTAACAAGCCAGGGTGCCTCAGAAATCTTTCTTGGCTGCAGGCCAGGGAGATATGGCCATTTGCTGTCTAGTGTGGTCAAAATATAGGCAACTAAATTGAACATTAAACTGTTTCCACTAATTTTGCATGTGGAAAAATGTGTTTTATGTAGTGTTAGGTGGTATTATTTTTATTTTTTGTATCACAAAGCTTTAATAACTAATTTTATTTATTGAAAAAATTATACCAAAAAGAAAGATCAGGTAAGATTCATGATACAGGAATTGGAATCAAAGAAGCTCTTTTATATTTCAGTCACTTTTTGTGTAAACTAAAATTCAAGATCCTGAGATTTGTAACTGGTGAAGAGTGCTTTAAAAAAATGTCCAGCAAATCAAAACATACACACACATATACCCACATATTGCAGAGCTGATATTCAGGTGGTACACACACATATAACCATACTAATTGTTAAAATGTTGTATTAGTGGATAAATAGTAGCTGCCTTAAGTGTCCCACAGTCCTCCCTACCCCTACCTCCTTTATTATTCCTAGAGCGTCCAGTCTCTGTAGGGTTAATAACTGGCCTAGCTGGGCCTCTGCATCCTGGCCCACCATCACGGCAACCATTCTGATGGGTTATACAGCCTTATCCTACAGGCTGTTGTATATTTTGAAGATCACTGCTGATTTAACCAGAGAAATAAAGCAATGCTTATATACTTCACAGAAACATTTTCACTTCTGTAAAAGATCACCAATGATTTCCTTTAAAGAAATTTTAGAAAATGCTGTACTCGTGTGCAGACACTTCCAGCAAACCATCTGGGTGGATTAGGCAAGACTCTTACTTAATGATCATTCTGAGCACCATAGATGTTGGATTTATTTATGAATCTGCTCAGTACAGAAAAGCTAAGTTCAATTTCTAATTTACTCATGGATGGACCCTGATCTGCACTGGTAAGAATGTTTTCTTCTAGGAAAATTCTTTCTCCTTTCCCATTCACAGCTTCTCTAGATAATGCTTGCACAACACCAAGATGAATAATACAGTCTGTAACAGGCACAAGACATTTGAAGTGAGGGAACTTACTCTTGTGGTCTTGATTTTGTTGCCAGTAGCACACATCCATCCAGAATTATCAGGAAGTGTCTTGCATTCTTCTCCCTCTAGGCAGGGCTCCATCTCACACCACCATTTCCCGATCACTATGGAAGCTGTGCAAAAACAGGACACAACTCTGTTTTCAACTCATTCAAACAAATCTGGACACAGATGCTATGTCTCATGCAGGTTTTAATGTTCTTTGAAGTACACTAGCTCCACTTTCATCTTCCATGACTGCGTAAGAAAATGTTATTAAGAAAAATAGAGTTTCAGTCTCACAATGCAAATGTAATCATCTGGTTTCATGAAGCAACGTCTTGTCCAAAATCGAGTTATAGGATGAAAACATGTGAAGTGGGGAAACTTTCTTTTGGGTTTTCAGGAACTTTTGCATCAGTTTTTGTAGATCAGGGATTTTATGTTATTTCTGTTTAGTGAAAAGGACAAAGAAGCTCAGTGCTCTTCAGAAGGACTGAGGCATTTTCTTCAGAATGTCTAGTCTATCCACCCAGCATTAGAGTTTATCCCTTAGCTTTGGGCCTTGGAGAATTTCAAAGGCCTACCAAAAAGAAAAATGCATTGACTGAAAGTATAAAAGCAACACTGCAAAGTAAAAATCAAGAGAATTGATAAATGAAAATATTTCTTTACAGTCAAAGTGTAGTTAATATGGGTTGTAGTTTCTTTTTCATGTTTAATGTGGTATGGGTGGAACTACTACAATTTGAGCCTTCCCTTAAGCAGCACTGCTTTCCAGGGTGATATTAAGGATGAACACATTTGAAAAATGGCAGAGTTTAGTGTATTTACAGCACACTTTTCTTTTTTTATTTATTTACAAAATTTCACCACATAATAATTACCTTTTTAAAAAAATCTGTATTGGTCCAATAAAGACCATAAGGGTAACTTCTTCAGCCTATAAAAGATGCCTTAGTACCAGTGGTCCCAGGTTTGTTTCTGCAAATTAAAATCTGACTGCAAAGCCCATATATAGTTTCTAGATATAATGAGATACAGTCATTTTGAAGCACAACAATCTAATTAGATTGGCAGGCAACAATGGAGGACCAAAGCAGTCTCTCAACCTCTATATGAGGTGTACGTGAGCCTTCCAGTTACTTCCTGCTAGCTGTACTCCCCCTGTACAAAGGAGTCACCAGGTCATCCCATGATGCCAAATGTGGCTCCTCTGGAAAAACAATGGGACCAGTCAGGAGGTGAGTAAGACATGGTATAGCACACTTTTCTTGATAATCAGATTTTATAAAACCAGTGACTGGAGTCACTCTATACAAATCAAGAAGCTCTACATCGTCTTTAATCTCCTGAATGAAAAATTATTTCCACAAGTATTCATTTCTGCAGCTACTCAAAGTGTTAACTCTTCAGAAATCTACTGGGGCCATTCCATTTGGAATCCTCAAAATGGCAGCCAGTGTATATTCTATGATACTTTCCTATTGGCAGTCTTGATGGTGATGCTGGAATCTAGCTCTTTAGGTACTTACCCCTCACCCTCCCTTTCTAAATATGAATGTCCTCCATGAAGTTTGAGTCTTATAGTGATAAAAAATGACAACTTTTAATGTCACAGAGAATTAATATTAAGGTGGAATGGGGTAAACCCTGCAGTTAAGCAAGAATACTTTAAAATTCTCTGTCCATCTTGCATTCATTAAAGGGAGCAGACTGCTAGCTTAAAAGCAGAATGGTTTACATATCCAGACATCTTCCTGCATGTAAGTTTTCCTTTTTCTGTACTTCTTTACTTCAATCTTTCCCTTCCTTAGCACTTCGTGCTCCCTACTCTTTGCTTTAAGTAAAATTACTATGCTGGATTATATAGGCAAAGACACGTGTACTCTTTTATGTCAATTTAGGAACATTTTCAGTGGTAATTTTGCCATATTTAATTTTATTTCATAAGTGAAACAAACCAAAATGTGTAAAATTCCACTTCATTGGACATGGTAAGCAAGTATAGGAGGTAAAATTTTGTAAAGAGTTCCTTTCATGTGTAACATATATGATACTTGTATGGAACACACAGCAATATCAAAAGACACAAATCCTCTACCATGTACAAAATGATTATGAGAGTTTTACTTTTTTTCAACATTAGGGCTCTGTCTCTGAGTATGGAGTAGGATAAGATTCTCGTCACGGATAAAAGATCTTATTTATGTGAATGAATAGGTGACAATATTAAATAAGAGAAGCAAGTGTTTTGGTCTTTGGAAAGACAGTATTGAGAGGGAATTAAAAAATAGTAAAGCTTCTGGCAACGTGAGATAAAAAAAAAATTCAGGATTTGGTGTTGTTTATTGAAAACCTATAAACTGCAGCACCCTTTTGGCTGGTGCTTAATCAGAATAGTCTTGTCACATTTACTACCAATTCTGATGCTTATCCCTTAAAACCTACTTAGTATTTTAGTATTGCTGCCCTGAATCTAAACCATCAGGGATGGGAACCCTCTGATCTTTGCTCTGAGGGGAAAGAGGCTTTCCCAATAACTCTTTAATTTAGCACGTTGTCACTGTTTTTTCAGGGAGGCGTTACAGTAATAAGCGCCAGCCATTGGGGTCAGCCTTCATATTTTTTGCCTCTTTCTAAAGATCTCTGATCTTTCTCCTCCTTTGAGCTGCTCTTTGCCCTCTTGAAACTAACCTACTTTATTATAAGCTAACAAAGCAGTTTCCTTTCCTCTTAGGCATTAATATCTCCTAAATGAAAATCGAGTCAGTATTGAAAAGAAAAAAAAAGACTCCAAACCACATATGACATTTAATTCAAAATTGTAAAGATTCACTGGGTCATAGGGGGAAAAAGGCTTTCTAAGAATAAAAGTTTCCCCAGACCTGCTTATAATATCTAAAAATTCCTATTACAGTTTCTTCTTTTAAACTTAGTTTAATGATTTGGCACTACTCTGCTTTTTAGAATTGAGTTTATTCTCCCACTATTGCTTTTCTAAAGATGCTATTAGATCAACTTTGCTTCAGATTTATGCATTGCACAATCATCATAGCTCTTTATGTTTTAGATCAACCAAGTATTTAGCTTTCTTATAAACTCATATTTACTGGAGTATCTTTTAAATGATTCATAAAGAATTTCACAGTTCCCTCCTCTTTTTCCAAACTGGAAGCTAGTTAAAACCTTCAGATTATTGGAAGAGAAATGATTTGTTAGATTTCATAAAATGCGTTAACATCAATGTTCTTTCACTGATTTTATAATTTCTCTCGTGGAAATGTAGTAAGAAAAGTGTAAATATAAATCGTTCTTAAATATCTCAAATTATAAGTCAATGAAATAATAAAAGTTGTTGACTAACATTTATTGAATGTCTCTGATGTATTTAGGTATTTTAGATGTATTACTTCAATCTGCACAGATCCCTATAAAATTATTATTATTATTAAGAGTTTACTTTAAGGATGAGGAAACTAAAGCCCAACAGGTTAAATTTTTCAGTACAGGAATTAACACTAGAATGCAGGCTAACTTAACTGCAAAGCCTGTTTTGCACTGTTACAATGCTAAGTTATTCTAGTTTTGTGTTCAGTATTCAGCGAACTTAAAAAATATTATTGGCTGCTGAGCAAATTGATTCTCTCTGCTGTAGGACTATTGAAAATAAATTTCATGTCAAACTTAAATACTTACAGAAAATAAAAACATGTAGTTGCTTGAGAAATTAATTTTTAAAAATTGAGTAAGAGTCAGTTTATCACACTTGCTTTTTTTCCTAGTTAGAGCGACACATTGCTTGATTCCATTAGTTATAGCATTTTAATAGCTATTCCTACAAGTGAACAATTTTGAGAACCATAAGAAACTTGTGAAGCGATGCATAACTGCTACAAGGACTAAGAACTCAATTAAATATCAGCCATAGGAAACAACTTTTTCTTATCCATAGTGGTTATGAGAGAAGATCTTTAAGGTTCCTTTTAGCCCTGGAATTCTGGGATTTGTTCTACAAATGCATGTGTAGGAAATATCTGGTCTTCAACCCTTTCAAGAACATTCATCTTTCCATGAGAGATTCTTAAAATCACTAAAGTCACTTTAATCATGAGTCTTGATTTCTCCCTTGCACCAAGTCATATTGCTATACAGCAAAAGACAGACTGTAAGAGAAGAATCAACTCATCTTTTGTCATAAATTGTAAAGAGGGCAGAAAGCCTTATTTTTTAAATTATTACTGTTGCTCACTTACCGGGCATTTTCCAATGGAAATGCAGCAAGATACTAGTAATAAGCAATGGGTATAATAAATACAGCAAGTAAACATTATATTGATCAAGACTTACAGTCTTGTTTTATCATTTCAATGGACAATGCTTGAGTCTCACATTAGCAAATGTTTATCAAAGCATTTCTTGATTTACCAAGAGTGCTCAAAAGAAGTGCATGACATAGCCCCTGCCCTCCATGGTTACGATTTATTTAAGTTTCTCTACAGGGGCGCTGTTGACATTCTGGCATGAATAACAATAATAAAGAATAAGTGAGCAAAATGATCCTCTAGTAAGCAAATATGTTCCTGTGTGAAAGAGCAGGGTCATACTGGGGAGCAGAAAGAAGAAAACCTTAGGAAGATTGAGAAAAATCTTGAAATTAAGAAGCTTTGCAGTTTGTTTTTGAGAGAATGGTTAGTCACTGAAAAGTCTATCCAGAGCCAATGAGCAAAAGGAAGACATGATTAAAGGATGCTTGGGAAAGATGCATTTGGTAGTGGTATGTGAGACAAAGGAAGAAGCAAGTTGCATAAATGTCGGTGAAGTGCCACTGCATTCAAATAGAGAAGTTGTGAGGTCTGGATTTGGGGTTCCTGCAGTAGAACTGCAAGATAGAGCTGAAAATGACACCAGGAATATGGAGGAAACACTGAGGCCAGAAATTGAACCATTTCAAGTATAACTCTCCTGGCACCAGACTCATGCGTCTGTTACCTAGGCCTATGCAGGCAGAGTTCACACTATGCTCATCTCTGAGTGGCACAGATGGCTCAACACAGGGTCCTAACTCATGAATAAATGAATGAATGAATAAAAAAGAAACAGTGAAGGGTTGTGAGGATTACATGAAAAAAAT